TGATTCAAAACGCTGCCCGACAGAAATCTGCTGCAACTGCCAGGCATCAATTGATTTCCTTTCCCTGCTCATAATTAGCTTTTTGCGGGAGAAGGAGAAGAAGGAACACCCCGTGGTGTGTGTCCAAAGTCATCCGGGATCCTCTGCGAAGGGCTCGTGCAAAGATGCAATGTTAGGATGCTGCAAGCAGGCTCCTCCCCTGCTGATGTTTATTCCATTCACAAAGCCTCTTATTCAAAGCGTCTGGGAGAAAGTAATGAAATGTGCAGCATGCTAAATCTTAGCACTGCAAAGCTTCTGTGGGAAATAACTTGGGGAACCCCTCTTTCTCTGGAGGGATGGCAGCTCTGCCTGCTCTGCTGTTAAAACACCTCACTGTGTCAGTCATGAAAAATGACAAAGGGACAGGTAGCTTGTGCTAGGTTATAACCAGGGGCCTTAGCATTCCTGGTTCCCAGAGGAGGTAATTCAAAGTCAGCTGGGAAGCAGAGCAGCAATTTCAAGCTCCAAAACCCTCTGCAGAGGATACCATCAATAATCACAGGCACGGATCACCCCTTGCTCTATGCCAGGCACTGTGCTAAGTGCTCTATGCTCACTGGCTCATGATAGCGTGAACTAGAAGCACCCTGTGAAGAAGGTGATTCCCTCATCCCCGTTTTAGAGAAGGAAAGAAGAGGAATGAGGTTATGCAACCTGTCCAAAGTCATAGAACTTATAAATGACACAGCTGGAATTTCTACTTTGCTCTCTGGTCAAGGTAAGGAATGATATCTGCAGCAGCACAGGAGATGGGAATTCTTGTGGGCTGAACACAGTACGTTTTATTTCCTACCCACATCACAGTTCATATTCGGTGCTCTTGGCAAGAGGTCTTCCTCCACTCACTCCAGGTCCCAGATGCCTTGTTGCTGTGGCTTTGGATTCCTCTTCATCCACATGGCTTCCTCCATCTGGTGGTAGAGGATGCGCTGGGGAAGACTTTGTATGCCAGTCCTGGAAAAGGCTAATGTAAAATGGTGTGCTGGTCATGGTTAACACCCAGCTCCCCTGAGGAGAGACAAACCAGTTCTGTGGCATTTGCCATCCTGGGTGTAAATGGCCGATCCCACTTGATTTCAGGCTAATGAAAGCTTCAGGACCAGCTCGCAACATTCCTGAACATGTAACAATCAGCCTTTGGAGCTAGTGTGAGCAGGCTCTGCTGCCTCACTGCCTCACATCGCCCACATTCCATTGGCTACAGTGCAGCCACAGGGTTCCCCACCAGCACCAAGTGAGGCTGGGGACAGGCAAGTGGAGGTGTGACCCGATGGAGAAAGAAGCAGGTTACGGTGATTATGTAGCAGTCTCTCCACATCTGGAAGGATAGACTGGTTCTGGGGCCTAATATGTTGGCTTCGGCTGCTTCAGGGCAAAGCCAATTCGGCTGCCCTAATGAAGCTGAGAGAGTTTGTTCACCCAAGCTGCCTTGGGCATCCAGAATACTGGCTCAGTTCCACTGTCCCCTGGGAGCAAAAGAGAGATGCCAACAGAAGGCCAAGCAGCAGCTCTGGAAGGGAGAAGCAAGGCCCTCTCCCATGGCCACGTCCACCCTTAGAAAGAAGAGGGAGAGAAAGAGTCATGTTCGTACACCAACTTTCCCTCTCAGTGTCACCAGCAGAAGACACAGCCTAATGGTGTTGTGGACACCAAACAATCAGAGTGGTTAAAGAACCAAAATGGGAATGGAAGAGGGAAGCAAGAGGGCACACACCCACTGAGGAGAACCTACCAGCAAAGAACAGCAGTCTGGGGTTTGCATCCACCAGTGCCTATCTCCCATTTGCTGTGGAGCTCGTAACCCCCACACGTCCAGACTCCCTGGCATGTGGACTGAGTGAACTCTCACAGATTCAATAAAAGGCTCAGAAGTGGGGAGCCACACCCTACCTCAAGCCAGCACTTGAGGTAGGGTGTGATCGACATGCAAGGGGAATCCCTTCCCCGAAACCTCAGGGATAGAGCATGGGGCACCCAGAACAGCTGCTGCAAGTAACTTCCATTAAAGATTATTTGTGATTTCGAGAATGACTCCTCTGGGTACTTCTGTGGGAGGCAGGGAGGGTAAATCTGCCCTAAGCACTTGCCAATGCCAAGAGTATCAGAAGTTTGGTTATCAGGTCCAGAATGTGGGTGATGTTCTCATCAGAGCTCATGGGAAGCTCTTTGCCCAGAACATCACCATCTCATTGCACCTGTTCACTCTTCCAACAAGTGCCATGGAACCCTACTTTGCACCAGGCCATCCTAGCAATAAGAGGTGAAGAGGGAGATGACCAGTATGATTACTACAATGGTGGTGGTGATGATGGTGATGGTGGGGCTGGGGGTGACCAGTATGATTACTACAATGGTGGGGTGATGATGGTGGTAATGGTGATGGTGATGGTGGAGACTGTGATGATGGGGATGATGGTAGTGGTGGTGATGGTAGTGATAATTGTGGTGAGGATGGTGATGGTGGTGATGATGCTGGTGGTGGCAGTGGTGGTAATTTATGGTGATTGTAAGGATAGGCATGGTGGTAGAAGTTGTGATGGTGGTGGTAGTGATAATGGTGGTGATGGTGATGGTGATGGTGATGGTGATGGTGATGGTGAGGATGGTAATGGTGATGATGGTGGTGATGTGTGATTCATAAAGGGTCTTAGAACCGTTCTCAAGAGTCAGAGGAGGAAATTATTACCTTTAGTTCCAGCCACTACAGAACTGATTCTTGAGGGTCAAGTTGTGAAGATGGAACAAAGGCATCCTCATATGAGAGAAACAACACAAATAAAGATGCAAAAGTGTGGTAGGAAGAATTACACAGAAAACAGACAAATCCAGTTCTTTAGAGCATTTGATGGAATGAAGAAAGTAGTGCAAGGTAAGAAAAGCTGGAACCGTGTGTAGCAAGCATTGGGCATTATCTTCCTGAGCCTAGGATCCACTCAGTTGGAGGGGCTGATAGAGCATCAGGAGTGCAGTGACTGGACCTGAGCTGTGTCTAGGAGCATAACTCTGGCTGCTGTGCACAAGACAGATTGAAGTCTGGCAGGTAAGCCAGATAGAGATGAAGGTGCTGGAGTTGTGTGCAAGTACCAGAGTAATGAGAATGGAAAACTTCAAGGAAAAGTGTGAGAGGTACATAGCACACGGCAGCATTCTGGCGATCTCTGGAGAGCCTTCTACCCAATATCTGAACATTAATAACATGCAAAGCTCTGCATTAGATGTCATTGATTTAAGGTAAAAACAATCTAAAAGTGTGAGTTGCTGTCCATTTAAAAAATGTTCCAGGGAGCTAGCTAGCCCCTTCCACCATACGTGGACAAAGGAAGTCCTCATCTATGAGAAATAGGCCCTCACTACACACGGAACTGGCGGTGACTTGACCTTGGGACTTCCTGGCCTCCAGAGCAGTAAGAAGTATTAGCTTCTTGTGCTGCCTAGCATATGATAAGTTTTGGTTTGTTTTAGTAACCTGATCTAAGGCACAAGTGCACATATCTCTTTTACCACTTTTTACCACTTTCAGACACTTGGAATTCTGGCCAATGGTTCCTATATAGAACATGCCCAGCAGTTTCCATGGAACCCTTAGTGAGCTCTCCTCTGAGACAACATGATCTATGAACTCCACTCATTCACTCGTCCAGCATGTGTGAACCAGAACTATGACACATCAGATATCATGCTAGGATGGAGGCTCCAGAGATAACTGCCATGGTTTCTTGCCATCAGAGGAGGTTAATTCAGTCTCACTGGAAAAGCAGACATGGGATTGTTATTACCCAAGATGCTTTCCTCTGCCTGGGATAAGATGGGAAATCACTAGAGCTTTCCTGGAAGAGACGGAACTTGAAGAGTGGGTAGGAATTGGTCATGGGATGAAAGCCGGAAGATGTCCTGCGTAGAGGAACTGTCAAATGGGAAGGTAATGAAGGAGGAGAGAATGAGGCTGTCTCCAGCCCCACCACAAACCTATTACATGTTCCAGGACATATACTCTTGTCTCTTCTTACCACTCTCTGGTAACTGAGTTTTCTCCAAACCTGAGGTTTTCAGGTTTTTATTTTTGTAATTTTCTCACCGTGTGGGTTGTTAAATCCCAGGCTTGCGTGATCCCTCCCAGAGTTCACATTTTTGATCTGTGTGAGCTGTCTTCGATTAGTTGGATGCCACCAATGTTCATCAAAGTGCCGTCATCCTGACAGCCAGCTCCACTTCTAATTCATGACCCATGGCATGGGCCCTTATCTACTCAGTAAAATATCGTGCTGCCAAAGGTGAACCACAGCTGCCAAGAGTAGGCTGCAGCCCTGGGCTCAGGCCGGCTCCATTCTGCACCAAGGCACTCTTAAAACCAGCTCTTTTGTTAGAAATCAAATATTAATATAAAGGGTGAATAATTCATTGTGAATGCCTGCAAAGCTCAGAGGAAATCCCCGAGAGGAGATTTTAGTGTACCAGTGATTCTAAAGTTCTAGATCTTTCCATTAGTTCAAAATGAGAGGTGCTGGTTCAGAGGAAGGGCTCTGAGGCCAGGTCACCTGCATTTGAACCCAGCTGCACCACTTGTTTACTGAGATCCCTGTGCACCCTCCCCACTCTGGTCTGTGCTCCACCAGACTGGGACCCATGGACTGCCGCAACAGGCATCCAGACCCCTGCCTTCTGGTGAATTCAAGCAATGGGAAGCCATGTAGAGGCTTGAGGAGTGGAGAAGATGGTGTGAGAATTTCCTCCTGAAGCTCCCTCCCTCTTACCTGGACCACTGTGGGCTCAGCCAATGGCCACCTCTCCTCTTGGGTGGCTTCTCCGCATAGTTGTCTCTTGCCCTGGGACCACCCCACTTCCACCCCTTCAGGCCTAGTGGTAGCAACAGCTCTCAGACTTACCAGCCCCAGGCTGCTCGCTACTGCTTTCCCTAAAGCCCCTTCACACATGACAGTAGGTTTAAACTTACCACATTACCATTTCTGAAGATTTAAAAATGATCAGACGTTGGTGATCTCAGTCTCAAATTTGATAGGTTGTTCTCTCATCAAAGCTTCTTCAATTATTTGTGTGCTACCATTTCCCATTATAACCTTAATTGGTACAGCAAGTGGGTGACCTTGAGCTGTGCCTCAGTTTCCTCATCTATAAAATGGAAATGATAGTCATAGACTCCAGTCCTGACAGTTGTTTTCAGGGTGAAATAATCTAATGCATAGAAGGGGATAAAACAATGCCTGGCGAGTAATATGTCCTGTCAAGGGATCAGAGTGAAAACCACAAACCGCCTCTAAGAGAAATTAGGAGACTCATGATCTAATGCAGGAAGCAAGGAATTTGGAGCCAAAAGACCTGATTTTCCTACTTACTATCTGTGTGATGAAGAATAGATTGTTTTACTGCTGATATTCAGTTTTGGGCAAAATGAGGATAATCATACCCATGTTCCATGGGGAGAATTGAATAAAATCTGTATGAAGAATGCATGACACATATAATTCCCTCCATAATTGTAGTTTTACCTGTATATGACCGAACTTTTAATTTTGCTTCCAATAACTACAAGGCGTCTTTCCATCTTGGTGGCCAAAGAGAGCTCTCAGTGCAAGGACTCCGTGCAGTGGTCTATTTTCGGGCTGCTTAGAGCCTCCACCTTCTGTCAAGAAGGAAGTATTGGGTGAAGTTATTTCCTGAATAACATACCCCACCAAAGACTTCTCCACATCTCACTGAGTGTGTAGGATACGAAAACTACAAAAATGAAACTTGGGAAATATCAGATACAAGAAGACTATTCTCGAAAGCTCAATACTGTAGTAGGAAATATCACAGCGAAAATAATGACAGCAAGGAATATTAACAACAACATCACAACAGTAGGAATCATACGAAACAGTGAGAGGCCACATGCCATGGTGCTTAAGAATGTAGCTCCCAAAGGAAGACACTTGACTTCAGATCTTAGCTCTGCAGAACTTTAGAAAGTTACTGAAATTCTCAGGGCTTTTTGATCCACAAACGGACTCAAGATAGTGGTAGTTTCCTCACAGTATTATTGTGACTATTAAATTGATTTCAGTTTAATGGTATATAACTAGTAGTAATTTACCTATCACTCTAAATTCCAGTCAAATATATATGAAAAGTATTTAAAGTGTCTAACACATGGGAAAAAATAAACACCCCCTCATAGCACAGTAGAAGTATCTTTCAGCACAATTTTTAAGCAACATCAGTTAAGGCATTGCACATACACTATTGCTAAACATCCCAACAATACATAGCAACTAATTACTAACATAAATTGCACTTCCTGTGTGGGCACTGTGCTACTCGACATATACCATCTTGATTAACATTATATAATAGCTTCTTTCTCATCTTCATTCCACAAATAAGGCCCAGGGAGGACAACTACCTGATTTTTAGCCCAAACCTGCCTGAATCCTGAGCCTCCCTGCTTGAATGTTTTGAATAAAGCCATCCCTGTCCAACAAAGACAAATGCTTCTCAGTCCCTTCTTATTCCAGGAAGGTTTTGCTACAGCTTTAGCAGCCCCAGGCCTTCGTCTTCAGGGAACTTCCGATTTCTTCTTTCTGGAAACAGCCTCAATCCTAAAAGGAAATAGGGGTGCAGTACAAGATGGGCCCAGCTAACACCCCTGGGCCATGAGGAAGGGCAGTGAATTGCTCACACCCCTCCCGTTTCTTCTAGAATCACGCAACTTCCCCCTGGCATCCGGTGCTCCCCATTCAATGCATCCTTTTGGTTCCTTGAATCCTCCTGTCTTCTTGGCCGTGCTTTTGGGCTCATTTTGTCACTTGCCTTCTAAGTCACATACACTAAATCATTTCCCATCTGAAGCCCCATTTTTTCCTCTTTGTTTTAGTGATTATAACCATTGCCCCGATTCCTTCTGAAGTCAAGACCCCCTAGAAGACTTCAGATGCGTTTTGGCAACCTGTAAAGTTCTCCTCCCACTGACAAATCACCGTCATTCTCTCCACAGCACAGGGGAGCGAGCAACTACCAGACAGCCCCCTCGGGCACATGCTGAGATCCCACAGCAAGCAGACTTTTTTCCTGTCTCAGATGCCATTTGCTGCAAAACACATGGGTCCCTGTGTTGGTTTGCTCCAATCACAGGCTGTTGTGTTCATTTCCTTACAAATAAGCTCCTCTCTCAAGGGTGTGGACTGCAAAATTTGATTTCCAAATCAATCCACTGAGCGGTTGGAAGAAAATGTAAATCCCTGTCTTTGAGAACGAAATGTTATGCATGCACAACGTATGCATAATCATTGCTGCGGTGATAAATGTACAGCACGTGTAGATAATGTTTATGTGCGCGGCACACAAGTGGCTGAGAGCGCTGGGTGCTGAGTTCCACCTCTGTCTTCACTTAGCCAGCAAGTCTTAGCCAGCAAGTCTCGGAATGCTATGCCTGGCCTTGTTACTTTCCTTTCTAAACTGCCAATAATAAATGCCCCCCCCTCACAGGCTGCTGTTTAGAAATGGAAAATACCAGGACAAAGTTTGAAGCTCTTATTACTGTCATATGGTGTGTGCACAAAGCTGGCCTAGGTTGGTGCTAGTATGGGCTTCGTGATGTCTTTCCATTTTATTCCCCCACTGCCAAATACCTTTCCTTTGTTTAATTTAGTTCAGGCATCACCTCCTCTAGGAAGACTTCCGGGGGAGAGACGAGGGGCCCTGTGGACCCTGAAGCCCCTCAGCCACATGGCACTGAGACTTGATTCTTTTGTATTACAGCATCTACTCTCTCCTGACAGCAAGGGCCTAGGGCAGACAGGCCCCTGATGTCCCCAGTTCCTGCACAGGGCTGAGCACATAATGGAGGCTTTCAATCCATGAAGTTAAAACAAACTGAATTTATCTGCATTAGAATCACAACTGCCTTCAAATCCAAAGCAATTTGCCAGTTGAAGTCTCATGCCTGGGGGAAAAGAGCCACATAGCAAGAAAATTAGCAAAATCGGACCCCCTCCTTTTCCAGAAGAGGCACTTAAGGGTCCTCCTTTTAAAAAGAAATTAATTCCACTCAGAAATAAATGCCCACTGCCCTCCCCAAGGAGACCATTAGCGAATCACCCACCGGCAGGGGTTTCTTCCTGCCAGGGCTCGCGGACTCACCGCTGAAGACCGCGGCACAGCGTGGCCCAGCCTGAGTGATGGCGGGCAGTTACGGGTGGCTGAAGATTTCAGCAGCTCCGAGGGGCTTCTCAGCAGCTGCATTTCTCTTCCCTTTAAACTGTTTATTAAAATACAAAGCGAAACCCACTGAAGGAAAGCATTTTTCTGCTTCTGCCTCCAATCAGCCGACTCTCTCCACGTTGAGGATTTTCCTGCTTTAGCAAAACATCTATACCCACTGCAGAGAGCAGGCTCCCCTTCCTTCAGGGGACCCTTGGGCTTTCCGAAGTTGGAATCAATCGAATTCAGATCCCAGCTCTCCCATGCACAAGCTGTGAGACTGTGTGCGGATCACTTCTCAACCTTATGGGCTTCAAGGTCAAGAGCAGTGCGCAGTGATAGCTGCCTGCACGGTGCAGAGGCTCCCAGGAGATGACGAGTGTGGCTGGCTCTCTGGCTGGTACCCAGAGAGGGCACTGGAGGCGGCTGGGAAATGTGTGCTGCGACCAAAAGGCCTTTACCCCTTCTCTGTCGGAGCCCCATGCTGCCCAAGGCCTGGGTGGCCATGAACAAAAAGAGATATGATCTGCCCAGTGCCAGGGCACAAATCCTAGACAGCACATGCCACCATGGTAAACCTACTGCTCTTGCACGACTGATTTAAGAAAGGATGTGGGTCACAATTCACTGGCCAGTGGGACTTGCAGGGAAATCTTCTGGGTGGCTTCTGAACCAAGTATCGCCGCTTCCAAAAGGGAAACCTCCACAGTAAGGATGTAGGTGTGGTAGATGTTTTATATTACTGAATGCTGGTGTCTGTCTGTGATGGCTGGAAGTGCTGGAGCCTCCTCAGGACCAGGAGGGGTAGAGCCCAGGATCAGACGCTACCTCACGAGGATGACTGAGCAGAAAGCTGAAAAGGACCTGGGGCCTCGGCGAGACATTATTGAGCTTCTAAGTTAACCACCCTGGTTCTGGATCCACTCTGATTTCTGGGACGCGAAATAATTATTGTCCTCTCTTGTCTAAGCTACTTTTAATGGAGCCATCTATTACGTGCAGCCAAAACCAGTCTAATATGAAAGATGTGACTTGCGGCATATTTTATTACAGGAATTTCATCTACCTTGCTGCCCAGCTAGCCAGAAACCAGGAAGTCGTTAATGCACACCTACTCCACATTTATAGCTCAAGGGCTTGAGAGCCTTCCATGTCACATAAAGTACAATAATAATATTTTAGTAACATAAAAGGACGATTTTCTTCTCAAAGCATTTAAATCCAAAGTATAAGTCCCAGCCATCGTAATGACGACCATGATATTTTTGGCCTCAGACTTCTCAGTTACAGATGACAGGGCCATTCTACCTGGTTTAAATGGAAGAGGAATTTATTAAAGGTCGTCAGGAGCTTCCAGAGTCCCCGACAGGACCAGAGAGTGGGCCGAAAACTGCCCAGACCATCAGTCTACTCGTTTACATCTTACTGTGACCCCAGAGCCTCTGGGTTCAGACCCTGCTGATGCGGTGGTGGACGCAGCGGCCACGTCCTCAGGCTCTGGGGCAGACGTGCTCCCTGCCAGGCTCTCCCTTCACCAGGAAAGAGTCCCCTTGGGCTGGTTTCTCTCCTTTTCTTCATATTAAAGCCTCACACACGCTGTGATGGCTGAGTCCCTGGACCCAACACTCCCAGCTTTGCAAATACCTGGGAAAGGACTCTGGACTCTTCCTGGGGAGGACCAACTCAGGATGTAGGAATTTCACCTAAAACGTGTTGAAGACATTGAGTAATAGGACAGAAGTCCATCCTGCCATCTACTCAGGGCTCTATTTAGCTGCAAAACTCCTTTGGAACAGGCTGACAATTTTGGGTGCCTGCGGAGGTGCCAACTTTGGGGGTAGTCAGTGGTCAGATCACCCAGTTTAGACATCTAAAGAACAAAGATCATGTCTTGGTTCCATTCCTAACCAGCTAGGTCCAAATACCAGCCTGGTCAGGAATGGTGACCAGGGAGGTTCCCTTGAGACCTGAAAGAGCCAGCCTCCTGCATCTAGGACCCCAGACCTCAAACCTCTTGTCAGGGGCTCAGGGAAACCCACTCCAGTCCTGCCTTCGCCACCAGCTGCTGATGACCTTGGGAACTTCATGAATCTTCCTGGGGCCTCAGTCACTACATGTTTTGAAAGCTGGCTTAGACCAATGGTTCCTAGGTGTCCTTCCTGCTTTACTCCTCAGCCCTAAAGTGATGTCACATCCGTTGTCTTTTCAGAATACTTATCGCTTCTGCAGCAATCATTTCCCATGTACAGTTTTTTCCTTTGGCAGGAATCACATACATATAAAAAAAGCAGCTTCCCCAGGAAGTTTGATGCCCCAGCTTTAGTAAACTTGCACCAAGTATTTTTCAAATTAAAAGTGACCGAGGAGTGTTTTTGCAAACAGAGCACCACGTCAACACCTTCTAATAATACAACCATCTCTCCCCAAAGGTGCACCACCGACCTGTGGCCGCAGCTGCCCGCTGACTCATCTCCCCTCCGAAGAACATGGCGGGGCCGTGAGTGGCAGCGCTGCTGGCTGTGCACTGTCCTCCCCTCCCTCCAACATGTCAGGGATGCTCTGCCTGCCTTCCGGGAGAAGGGTGCCTCCATATTTCCCACCCCGGGGAGCGGGGAGCCCATCAGTTGCTCTGGAGAGCCCAGCCCCTGGTCTTTCAAAGAACAACTCCTCCATTCCACATTCAGGAGAGCAGCAGCTTCAAGACCTCACTGTGTCTACACAGCACTTGGTGCAAGTGTGTCAGCACTCACACGTCTCTTTAATTATGGACAAGCTTCTGCTTGTCCTTCTGGGCCTCAGTTTCTCCATGTTGCAAAATGGGTATTTTAAAAAAACCACTTGCCTCAAAGAATTGGCAGGTAAGTATGCACAGAAGCCTCCAGCCCACTGCCAGGCACTTAGTAGGTGCTCAGCAAATGTAACTGTCCCCTCTTTTCAGTGCTGTCTTGTTACCTGTGTGCCCTCTCTTTCCAGGGTGCTCCAGGCAAGTGCCCACCCCTCATAAGTGGCCCCCCCTTCAGACCCGACTCTTGAATCCTGCAAGGTTCCTGACATGCCAGGCCCTCTGGTCTCCCTCATACCTGTCTTCTATGCTAACCCCAGGACCCTTGCCTTGTCTGTCCCCAGGCAATGGTCTAGGCAGAGTCTAAGCCACTGACTGAAGTAAGGCAGCACAAATGATGTGAACAGCGAATTGTGGTAGCTCTCAGTGATGTGGGTGGGGCATCAAAGGATTCACAGGGCCTGAGGTTACACACACACACACACACACACACACAAACATGACCGGGAGCTCTCTGGGACTCCGTTAGTTCCGTGCTCTGGAGCTGGGTGCATCGGGCCCGAGGTCCTGAGTTCTCCAGCATGCGAGGCAGCAGCCCCTCTGGGCACAGCGTGGCCACACAGACGGCCTGACGCGCTGAAGGCCACGGCCGGGCCCTGCTGGCTGTGAGGCTCTGGAAATCACTTCCTTTCAGCCTCCCGTTTCTCTCCCCAGTATGGCGTTTGTTGGATGTGACCCGTGCATCAGCCGCTTTGAGCAGGTCCTATGGCAACACGGCATTCAGTCACTGCTACGGCCTTGCAAGGTTCCCCAACCACCCCATTCCCGCTCCACTCCTGGGAGGAGAAACTGAGGCACAGCCCCAAGGTTGTGCAAAAGCTGAGCAGGAACTAAAGCCTGGACATTAACCACTCGACTGTCCCTGCCCTCTCCACCTGCCACAGGGAAGCAGGTGAACTCCAAGGAGAGGGAATGCTCCGTTCACTTCAGCCACCTGGAGCACAAGTCAGGGGACCCCCCGGGACAGTGTCGCTTGGGAAGGAAGGTGAGTAATCTTCATGCTTCCCACCCATTTAAGCCAGGTTTCGTCATGGCTGTCTGGTAGAGAGAGCTCAATGTCAGTGCCTTGGAGCCAGCCAGACTCCAGTCATTAACCTCAACTCTTGCGGTGCTGCCCTCGGACACAGGCACTTGTCCTATGTGAGACTCAGTTTTCCTATCTGTAAAATGGGGCCCTATGTGGATGGCAGCTATTGTGAAGATTGAAGTCACCATGTCTGCAAAGGACTGAACAGGAAGCCTGCCATGCAGAGGCTGCCTGATAGTGTCTGCAATGGCTGGAACGTACTTCTGCCCCCCAGTCACAAAACAGGATCAGTCAGGCTGCTTGAAAAGAGATGGGCTTAGCTGGGTGTAGTAATGCACACCTGTGATCCCAGCACCCCCAAAGACTAAGGCAGGAGGATCACAGGTTCAAGGCCAGCCTGGGCAACTTAGCAAGACCCTGTCTCAAAAAAAAGGACTGAGGACATAGCTCAGTGCAAAGGCCCAGGGTTCAACCCCCAGTGATGAAAAGAGAACGATGGATTTCCTTATAGTTTTAAAGGTGAGTTCCACCCCCAAGTCTCTTCCTGTTCAGCCCTCTTTCCTACTACATCTCCCTCCTCCCTCTGCTGTGCAGAAAGAAAGCTGGTCTAAAAAAAGAAGGGGAAAAAAAATGCCATCCTTGGCATCTTCTCTGTCCCTTTTCTACCAGCTGCTGTTACCATGGTAACCCAAAGCCATTTGCTTTCCTCCTTCTGCTGGGCCTCCTCCCCTGCACGGTGTGTGTGCAGCTGGTCTTTTCCCAGGTCCCAGAAAGCCACATTCAGGGTTTCTCTGTTTATCTTTAAATTTCCTGCCAGCTCTGCAGCTTTCCAGCTTTCTGTTTCTCATAGTCAAGGAGCAGAAAAGATCGCTCCAAACAACTGGTCACAGCGGTCATTCATGCGCTCCTCAGATGCTTGTGGCAGACCTACTATGTGCCAGCACTGTGTCAAAGAGAAATCTGCCCGTGCTGTATGGATGAGGAGGACCCATCCTTTCACAGACAGGGAAACTGAGGCCCAGAGAGGAAAGACCTCACAGCTGGCAGCACAGCCTGTCTCAGAACCCTATGTCCTGATGTCCAGGTGAGCGCTGTGACTACCTTCACCAATCACCAGCCTATGCCTTCCATCCGCAGGAAATGTTGCACCCTGGAGTCCTAAGATTGGGCAGAGCTAGCGTATTTTCCCCAAACTCCCTGGCTCCAGCTGAGGCTGGTGAATTAGGGCCAACCCCTACTTAGGTATATCTTTCTGGCATGCTAATGCAGGGCCCCTCCACTGTGCAAACTTCCAGGTGTGCGGGAACCTCCCCGGCACCCCACCTGCCTCCTTACCAGGCGCGGCTGGAGCCACTGCGGCTGCAGGCAGCTCTGCCCCACTTACCTGCCAGCAACATCTGTGAGCTGACGTCACCTGGGCTGGCCGCCGCTCCTCCCGTCCACCGGCACTCTCTGCTTATTAGAATGCACCTGCCATCCTCCTCTCCCGCACCGCGGAAAGGTTTGCTCAGCAGCCCGGACTCCAGCTGCTCAGGAACGGGAGGGAATGGGTTCACATTCTGTAAAAATTAACATGCAACAAAACATCAGCTTTGGTGCCCTTAAGGCAGTTGCATTGAGAGGCAGATGAATACTCAAGAGCTCTGATCGCTCAGCCAGAAATCAACCCTTCACTAATATATACATCCAACCTCACTACTAATGGTGCACCCTTATGGGAAGTGTGGGGCAAACCTGTGCAGGTGCAGGGTGCAGCAACTCTGTCATCATCATCATCATCATCATCATCATCATCATCATCATCGTCTGCTCAGTACTCACGCTGCGCCAGGCACTTGACCAGACGCACTAAATCTAGTTTTACCCTACCTGTTTTGTGGCATCCCCACCCCTTCTCACTTGTCTCCTTTCTCTACTCCTCAGGAGCAACCACTTTCAATTCTTCAGGCTGCCTCTTTTCAGACTCACCTTCACATACACAATGCCTTCGTAGCAGGTGCTTGAGGGGTCCGTCGATTGACTCTCCACTGTGGAAATGAAGCCTCTCTCTCCAGCTCCTGTGCCCACCACGGAACACGTCCCACCTTCATGCTTCCGACAGGATTATGTGGTCATCTTATCTCTTATGAGCGGGGGTTTTGCGTGGCTGTGTCTATGCGGATGCTACACCGAGACAAGCCTGAGTGCTTTTCCTTGGGTTGGGAGCCACAGAAACGCACCCTTCAGATGTCATGTGGTGGGAGAATAAGTGGCTGGTGGCTTCCACTGCTGCCCCGCTGGGCCCATCTTTGTGGTCACTCTAAGGTCCCATTCCTGCAACCAGTGACTCAGCCCAGGCTCCTTCCTGCGAGACGCGGCACACCTGTAATGGCATCTTCGGCTGGAAAACCCTGTCAGCAGCGGCTCCCTTCTGGGAACCTCACTACAGTGCAGGCTCTTCCCAGGTTGCTTCCTTCTTTCCCCCACTCGCCCAGGGAGCTCAGCTCTGCTCTGTGTCTGCCATGCTCTCCTGAGTTTCCCTGTTGGGTTGCAAAGTAATTCTTTTCATAGTGAGTTCCTCCTTTTTTTTTAAGCCATCCTTCTCTACAGGAGAAGATATTAATTGTTAAGCAGGGTAAGGCTCATTTATTAGAAGTTTACTTCCCTCTGCATAGCTTCTGCTTTCTTGTGGCTTTTTGTCTATTTGGTAGTTTTAATAGGGAATGCATTTCCCAGATTTCTTGGTTGAATGGTAGCATTTATAAGTAGCCACTAAAAAGCTAACTGGAAGGCTGCTGGGGGTGGTTGGAGGGAGCTGGTTATGTTGGGTGATCTCGCTGGGAAGTTTCTCTGGGGAATCCTGGCTCTTAGTATCTCTAATTCTATTCTTTTCACTGCTGAAACTTGGCACACCTGCCCTTTCTCAGATGCCAATGGAGCAAGCTGATCAGCTGTGTCAGCTTTCACAGGGCCATACCCAGTGCAGCTCCAAGCAGATCCTGTTCACAATAAAGATATTCTTTTCAGGGATAATCATGCAAGGGTTGGCATTAATCATTTCTTTAAAGAGTTCCAATTTAGCTTTTAGAACACACTATGAATAGTCAAATGAATACATTTTCAAAATATATATCCATGAGTTTACATATATTATGCAAATTCAGTGGAATATTTCATGAAAGAACTAAAGTCTGCACTTACATAACCAAAGCATTGATAAACTTTCCAGGTGTCATTAGAATGGTAAGGGCAAAAGAACTACATTCTGCATTTTTGTCCTCACAGACCCTGTGTCCTCCTTGTGGATTCAGAGACCCCATTCCAGATGCAAGTTCATGTGACGCGGAGGGACAGGGACCCTTGTTCCATCCGAAGGATCTGGGGTACAGCTGAGCGCAAGCAACCTACTCTGAGACGGATGTGCACTCTCAGATCAGAAGCATGAGGGCTCTTTTGTGAAAATGCTTATGGAAGGATGAGTGGTCAACATATGCTGCTCTGAGACACGCGTCTGTGTTACTGAAATTTCACAGAAGCCACACAGCTGGTTAGAACACAGAGCAACAGAAAACATTTTTCAGAAAAATACTCACTGGCATCGTTTACAATTGTCTGTGCATGATGAGGATCAAAAGCAGATTGGCTACTTGTACTATCGTAAAATGTGTACAAAATTGAAATGTGCCATTTTATCCATTCTGTGGTATTAAATTCATTTCTGTTGTGCAATCACCACCACCATCCATCTCCAAAACGTCTTGTCTCCCCACATGGAATGCTGCACCCCTTGAAAGAACAGCTCCCAATGCCCACTCCTCGTACTCCGGTAGCTGCTTCTCTACCTGATGTCCCTGTGAACTTGGCTCCCCTGTGTAAGTGGAATCATACATATTTGTTATTTTGCAAGTGGCTTGTTTCACTTAGTACACAGTGTTCCTGTTTTAACATGTGTCAGAACCCCATCTCTCTTCAAGGCTGAATAATATTCCACTGCACGTGTAAACTATGGATATTTGGGTTATTCCCACCATTTTCAAGTGGTAAATAGTGCTACTGTGAATGTGGGTATATGAATACATTTTTGAATTATTTATTTCAGTTTTTTAAAAAATACATACCCAGAAGCAGAACTGCTGGACTATATGGCAATTCTATATTTAACTCTTGAGGAACTACCTCACTTTTTCCCACAGCAGGTGTGCTATTTTACATTCCCCAGCAGTGCACAAGGGTTCAGATTTCTTCACATCTTTGCCAACATTTGTTATTTCATGATTTTTTTTAATCGCAACCATCTGAACGGATGCAAAGCAGCAGACCAACTTTTAGTCAGTTGTATTGTTTCTGTGAAATCCTTTACAGTTAATGTGCAGCTGTTCCCCACACCCCAGGAAGCCCCTCACTGCTTCCCTCGATGCCTTGCACACCTGGGTGTTGGGGTTCACCAATCCTGCCTGTGGTGCAGCACTGTGCCCTGGGTACCCCAAGTTCAGAGCCCTTCTCCTCAGCCTGTCTAGAGAAGGAGCTTCCTATCTTCTTCTGGACTGGGGAAGGAGCATTCCCAATGGCAGGAAGTGAGAGAAGGAAGCCGGACGGTTAAATATGTCTTGAACTTTCAATCAATCCTCCCATCTCCAACTGCAAATCAGTGCACACATGCACGCATGCACGCACACACTCATCTGAAAGACTGGGCCACCCCTTTCAGAGCCTTTGGGGAGTTCTACGATATCTACCCATTGTGTCTCAGGCCCATTTTGGCTTAGGCTTTAGTGCTTCCACCAGTTACTGGCCTATATATAGGTCCCATGTCTGCTGCCCTCTCACCCCCTTCTCTCTTTGGTCTTCTTAGAAACCTACTTACTGTCAACTTGATGGGATTTCAGAAGGGAGCTGATCTAAACATGTGTTTGATCTACCTTGCATAAGCCTGAAGTAATAAATATGCAATATTTAACTTAAACTTTACTATTAAAATGTGGGTGGGAGCTGGACAGAGGTGAAGGAGTATTTGGAGCTGTGAGGAGGGTCTCCCCCATGGCAAAGTGTATCAATAAAAGCTGTCCTGCCATGGTAACATATGAACTAAAATGGGAAGAGTAAGCACTTGATTCATTTCTCGTCTGTTCTGCACAGAAAAGAGAGGCATAAAATTGTGATTCATTTATTGCCCACTCACCCAAAGTAACATTGAATAGCCCCCCAACCCTTGTGCCAGACCTCATGTCCATGATGTGAGACTCCAGCTTATGAAGAGAGTCCAAGTCTCTTTCCTATTGCTCTGGCCCTCAGAATCACCCCACCTTGCTTCCCAATGCTCATAAATCTCCCAGACTCACCCAACTGTCCAAGGTGGCCTGTGTGTAATAAAAGCACCTCCACCTGACCTTTGTAAAATCACTGGACAATTCCTCTCTCCTCCAGGCATAAAGGCTACATAAAGGTCACTTAAGAGATGCTCTGATGAAATAACATGATTGTGCAGGATTCACTGTCGATAACAGCCCTACACAGACAGATAATCTTGCAGGAGGCAATAGAACTGACCTGAGTTTTTGCCCACAGAGAGGAGATTCAGAACTCAGAGGATGACCTTGAACAAAACTTCAGCTTGTTCCTGGACTAAGCGACAGCTACACGTAGTTTATTGGAAATGAAATCCTTGTGACTGACAGGTTGGCAGTGATTAATTATGTTAATATTTGCTCTGGGTCCTGAGGATGTGCAGAATGATTAAAGAGGGTTTTTGGAAGCAGTGACTTGTTTGCACTTGGTCCCCTAATTGTTTGCTAAATGATTCGCCATAATTACATGTAACATCTCAATGCTCCCCCAAGTAAGACTTGTACAGCTTGGGAATAAAAAAGAAATTCCCAAGGCACCAACACAGTGGGAAGTGGGGGTACCCTGAGACATTCCAGAAGGCATGACAGATGTGGCCTGTCAGCCCAAGGCTCGGATCTTGCATATTGCCCTGATCTGTAGGCTAACTAGGGCAGCAGTTTGCTTGAGCCTTGGAGCAGCGTTGTTTCACAGCAAAATATCAGTGCAGTGGTTCAGATGCAGGCATGTGACATTTGGGTAAGGCGGTGAGTTGGCCTTGGCGCCACCAGGAGACCTGGGTGCTGGACCTGGGGCTGGGGTCTCAGCCACTGGACTCCAGGCCTCCTTGGCCAAAAGGAAGGAAGTCCTGGACATGGCCTCTTTCTGTGACAGGTGAGAAAAGCCACAAACTCAAATCACCCAATCTCCACTACTGGCTCATCTCAGCCACTGTTTGGCTTAGAGGGTGTCAGTTGGATGGGGAGATGAAAAGATGGGGCACCCAAGACAGCTCTTAGGGGGCCCGAATTCCCAGAAACCCCTCTCTTGATTTCAGAGTTCCTTTACCGGTCAGCACCACGGACAGCGGCGATTGCTTCCCGTTCGTGGGGCCAAAACTCGGATACTGGATCTGGGAGTGTCTGAGTGGTCATGCAGCCCAGTCTGTCCCTTTACAGATGAGGACTCTGAGGATCAGAGATCAGAGGGGATTTTCTAGTATCCAGCTAAGTC